GATCCCTTTGATCTTGTACTCTCGGCCTCTCTCATGCTTACAGACGTCACGTCTGTGTGTGCGCGTCTGTGCATGCGTACGTGCATGCGTACGTGCATGCGTGCGTGCGCGCGTGCGTGCGTGCGTTCGTGCGTGCGTGCGTGAGTGCGTGCGTGCATGCGAGATACGCAAACGGCAAACAGGTAGAATGGCAGAAGCGTTTACGCGCGCCTACGGGGGAGGGAGGAGATGCGGTTTCTCGACGAATGGCCACGGCTGGCTTTTCTCTTCCTTCCCTCTCAACAGCGCGCATGCGCCAAAGCCACTAAAATCCAGAAAATACCTCCCAAGGCTAGATCCGCGCTTGATACTCTCCGCCGGCATTTCGACTTCGTTCTCCCAGCCCTTCCCACACGCGCGCGCACACTCGCACACGGACACCTTGCCCAACACGCGTGCGCTTGTCTACCGTATTTACAGCTGAGGCCGCCGATACACATATGGGCATGTGCGAGCGGCTTATTATGTCCCTCTCCGTCGTCGCACGGACGGCCAGCAATATACTGCGCCGCAACAAGTGGACACTCTCCCTGTATCCCTGCCCTCCCGATCTCATGGACATTTATTATGAGCGCTCGAGGGGGCGATATTATTGCTGCGGGGGTCCGATACTCCGATAGCCGATAGCCAGCTAAAGAGATAAGAGGCTCGCGAGCATGAAGCAAGCGTTACGAGAGGTACTTGCGCGTTTATTAATGCTGTAAGCGAGGTAATGAGCGGAAACGGGTGATCGAAGAAAAGGGAAAATAATGTTGGAGCGCGGTTGCGGGCGTAAGTCATGGGAATAAGCCGCGCCGAGGCTAATCACGCGGATTTCCGCCTCCAAACCCCCCTTCCTCCCCCGTCCTGCGTCGATCAATCCGAAGACGATGTAACGGCCATGAGGCCGTGACATCGAGGTCTTCGCCGTGAGCCGAGCGTCGAGTCGGGGGGCCCACGAAGCCCTAAAAACGCTCCTCTTGCGAGACGGCGATGAGATAGAAAGAGAGAGAGAGATAGATAGAGAGAGAGAGAGAGAGAGAGAGAGAAAGAGAGCAAGAGAGACAACGCTCGAGCTTACGTAAGTGCGCGTTTCTCTCCCACGGCTAGGCGCGGAGGCTCCGTCGGCCGCCAGCCACTTGGCCCGCACGCACGGGGGCAGTTCTCCCGCAGAGCCCGTCAACATCCCGGGTTGCCTCCCCCGCGGGATATTCGCGAGCCCGTCACCCGGTGGGCCGGGGCGCCCGGAGTCGTTGCCGTATGCGTACGCTCAACCAGCTGACCGCGGGCGTCGGGGATGGGGCCGTGAGAGGTAATGTACAAACGGGACAGAGGACGGCTACCGGGCGCAGCGGGAGGTCGCGCCGGGGGGCCCGAGGAGATCGGGCCCGGACGGCCCCATGCCGCGAGGCGCGCGCGCGCACGCGTTTTTCATTATCGTTTGTTCGGGGGCGATTGCGAGCTGACGCGCCCAAAATAAGTGGACGCGGCTGTACCAGGCGAGGACTTTTTTACTCGGATGTGACGATCGGCGATCCCGCGGTGTCCGAGCCCCCGATCCAGGGCTTTTTTCACAGCGGGGCCCGTAGTCGAGGAAAGCGGGGTACGCGAGGTCCCCACGGGGCTCGCCTGGGCGGTCGTAGGGGAATGGCTGGATTGGGTGGATTGGGCGGATTGGGTGGGGGGGGGTGTCGATGGCGGCAAGGGGAGCGGACGCCCGAACGACTGTCCGATTTTTTGGAATGCGGCGCAGAGGGTGGGTGCGGTGGGGCGCGCAGTTTGGTAAACCTGATTTTACAGGGGCGAGGTGGAATTTCGCGATGAAAGCTTCACGCTATCGCCAAGCTGATGACTTAATAGGTAAGGAAGCGCGCCGCTTGCCAGTAACGTGGGCCTTCGATGCGCCGTATGGGAGAAAAAAGCGGCGAGGCAAATTTATGTTTATCGCATGTCGCGCAAATGTGCCTGCAGCCTTGCGTATGCACTGTACTCGCGTTGAGCGATGGGGGGGGGGG